GAACGGAGATCTCTTTTGGCCGCCGGACGTGGACGTGCCCATCTTTTGGCCTCGACTTTGGGACCTGGTCAAAAGGGGTCTTAACTGAATGGTTGATGTTGCTGCCGTAGGTGTTGTAGTTGCCATTGCCGTAGCCGTTGCCGTTGCCATAGTCATAGCCATAGCCATTGCCATTGCCCCATTTCGGATTTACAGACTGAACCTGAACCGCAGCCTCAATGCGGCTGTTCCCACTGTACGTGTCTCGCATACTGAACAACCATATATAAATATATATATATATATATAGAGAGAGAAATATCCCCACCCGAAAGCGGCAACCAAAAGCCTCAGAAACGAGGAATGCGGTGGCTATATGCCAAGGCGAATGGTCCACGAAATCGATATTTATGGAGTAATCAAAGTCTTCGATTTATGCGATGGCTCAAAGTCAGTCCAAGTTGGTAAGTTTGTATTGCAGCAATGGAACGCAACCCTAATGTGGATGGGCTATATGTTTTATTTGTGTTTTTCGAGACAGAAAATCCAAAAAAAAATCTATGGAAAAAAAAACTCTACTTAAAGCAACTAATTATAAATTAAAATACATATTCCTTTTATTTTACTAAGGCGCATAGAAGCAACTCAATGGTAGTTAAATTACCTTAAACAGAAAATAAAAAAAAGTAAAAAAAGTAGAGAATTAGAATTAGATTCCAATAACACAAATTCAAAAGTAAAACATCTGGAAGCCTTTTGAGGTCCTGTTCGTCGCATCCTTTATCCCATTGCCGCATCTCCTAATGGACTAATGGGCGTGTCATTGCCCAAAACACCCACAAATATCCTTCGCTCAACGAGATGATTTATCCGCAATAAAAACGAGCACAACAGGAGTAAATGTTTTCGGAATAAACACAGGCCCACAAACGATGTGCAAACGGCGGCAACCTGGCGAGTTGCTGACCATTTCGGGATTGTCCTGGCAGGACAATAGCGGTAGAATAACAGGACAACGCCCACAGTAGCAATAGCGGTGCGTTTGGACCACAGATGGATATATTAGGGAGTATACGTATATATTCGGAATGATGTGTCCACCAGTCACAACAACAGGCACGCACACACAGTCGTAATCATAAATAAATTGTACAGCGTTAAGACCACACTGCGGCCGTCATCAAACTGAAAAAGCCGACAGGCAGTAGAGGGTTAAGGCAGGACCCAGTGGGATAATCCCAGGACAAGTGGCGCCTCAGCAAGAAAATTCATACTTTGTTAGCGCTTAACTAAAATCTAAGCTTAGCTAAGTGATTGATATCTATAGCAACAAACATAATAAAAGTTTAACAAAAACTGGAGAGGAGGTTTTTGTTTAATTTATTAGACAAGTTTTTAGATCTTAGCAGTTCAAAACCAATCGAATAAAAATTAATTCCATCTAAAGAAATATAAACTTCTAGCCACACAAAATTTAGATATGAAAAATCTAAACAGCTCATCAAATCCATATTTAAAGCCATCGTTTGTAATTGTTTTGGATTCAATATAAACCCTTTAAAATCTCCACAAACTCCAAGCCGACATCATTAATCAAATTATTTGCAACCGATAATCGACTATAGATCGAGTGCAACGGCATATCGAATTGCCTGGCCGATCTGATGCATTATTATGTCGAGTTCGAAAATGCGGGCACTGCACACCAAAGGGTTAAACCGAATCGCACTCCACAAATTATCTAAGCTAATTTCGTTTTACAATTTAATTAGTTTGAATTTCCACATGTCCCGCATATGACCGAATTTATTAGCAACGGGCTGCGCATGCGTCTCGCCCCCTTTTTTGTTTTTTTGGTTTTTGGTTTTTGGCTTCGCTCTGGGTTTTCAGTGTTTTTGGGCTTGGCCGAAGGTCCGGGGTCTTATCGCCGTCTCCGGCTGGATGATTCAGTCAAGGTAAGGCCCGCAATTGGGTCAGGGAGCCACAAAACTGGGCCCAAAAAAAAAAGAAATGTACTTATACAAACCCAGAAACGAAAAGTAAAACAAAAAGCAGACTATTGTCATGCGTGAGTGGGGCGTACTCACTTCCGGCCTTAATTTTTTTTAAACTTATATTTCACGGCTGATCAGCCGGGAAAGCTCGCTCTTTAAGGTTTAGGAGAGTATATGTATGTAACAAAATAATAATAATTTCTTAGAATATTCGGACAATATTGGCCTTGACAATTCCTTTCTTAAGCTCGTCTCTAAATAATCTCAAAATGATCGAAAAACTGTCTTGTTGGTTGTCGTCTGGCCAATGGAATTGGTTTATTCAGCATCGGTGTCCTTATGATGACCCAATCGAAGAAGTGCCCTAAACGTCTGGATAATTATAGAGTCAAAGTCTTGGCCACAGCCTTTGAATTATTTGGGAGCAGGAACCAAAGAATCAGGAAAACCAGACTTTAAAGACCATGAATGATCTTGAGTTCTTCGATTGACGTTAATTGAATTTAATTTTTTAAATAGCTATTTTTCCAAAATATTATGTTAATATTGGCTTTAATTTTTTAAGGACTTAAGCAACTGAGCAACTGATATTAATAAAACAATCTATTTTTTCTTGTTGCTCTTTAGATAACTACTATTATTTTGAACACGGCTGTGTGTATGTGTGTGTGGGAGAAGAAAGAGCGCAGGCTTGTCTAAATTTGGCATTAATTGCTTGGAAAATGTCGCTCTGCCTGGAAAAAAGGGGGCGGCGAGTGGGTGGTGGGTGGTGGGGGTGACCAGGAGAGGGGGGAGCAAAAGTGGGGAGGCTGTGCTGCTCGTGCAGCTTGGCAGTTGCAATTCCAGGTTGCCAGCCAGCGTCTTCTCCGTCTCCTCTTGAGGACAATAAAAGTTCGTGAGAACTTGATGCTTATCGAACTGAACTTGCAGACAGACAATGCCGCAGTGGGCAGCGGGATCCAGTCGGAAAATTGGCCAGGAAAATGGAGGGGGAAAGGGGGACGGGGGGACGGGGGGATGGGGTGCTTTGATTAGCCTGAAATGGATCAAAATCAGACACCGATGCTCGCTTGCAGAATTTCCCACAGTCGCCAACAGCCAGCAGCTGGCCCTTTCCTTTCCTTTCCTTTTTTTTGTCGCCAAAAACCCATGATGAACCCCTTCGCTATTTTGCACTATTTTTGCACACCTCTACCTCTTTCTCGTGACAGTTTTAGTCCTGTATAAAGGTATGTGTACCCCTTAATCCTTTTTCTCACGCACCAAAAAACATTCAATAAAAAGAGAGCCCAGAGGTTCTCAAGCATCCTTCGATCGATGACACGTCGCAAATATTGGACAGCCTGCAAAATGCGCACTCATTGTCCTGGCGATTTCGCTACAACTGCCCCTGTCCCGAAATCTGGATTCTGAACTGAGTGATTCTGAATTCTGAGTTCTGGGCCCTCGTTTCGGACTCCCTTGCCATCCCTTCAGGTAGCGAGCTATCATAATGATCGTGGCTGCATCTGCATCTGCATCCTTATCGATCGACAATGGCCACAAATCCGAATCACGATCAATTCAATTACCAACTCCCCAAGCAGGACGATCTCGCAGGATCTGCGCAGGATCGCAAGAGGAGCCACGTCACCTGCTCGTCTTTCCCATGACAAATACTGCCAGCATTTTGTTAGGTTCTATTTTTGCAACTTTTCCGCTATTCGCGGACTGCACTGCACTGGCAAAAAAAAACAGTATTTTAATACTCAAACTGAACTAAATTAAAATCAAACAATTAAGGTGTGTCTAATGTTTATATCTTATTGAGACTATTAGAGTCTAATTCTTAAAATGGGGAGCCAATCAAAATGTTCAAGCTAAAAGGCGAAGAGTGGAATGAAGAGTTATATATTTGATATGGATCCTTAAAAGATCATTTAAAAGTTATCTTAATATTTTGTAACAACAAAATACATTAACAAATTTAAAAATTTTCCTTCCCAAAGATTTATCTAGTTTTCTTGGAGATTACAACGATTTTCTTTCCATGTAGGGGCTAATCAAGTGGCAGCGGTCCTACACGAAGGACATTGTCCCAGGATCTTTTCGCATTTCCACCGGCGCTGCTTTGTCTGCGTCTTTTCTGCTGAAACATGAAGCGGCCAACAAGTGTTTTGGGCCTCAGGATGCCGGACCCCGAATTCAGAACACAGAGATCCATCCTACAGGACTCAAAACTCCGACCCCGGGACACAGGACTCCTGCATATGCGCTTAGTGTAATGGGATAAGCTGTAGGCCCGCTCTTTATTTTATTTTATTCTATTTTTTTTTTATTTCCCTTCCCGTCTTGCAAGTGCGCGATAATGAAATTTTATACTTGTTCCTGCCACTGGGCACTTCGATGGTACTTTGCTGGGAAATTGTGGGAAAATCTTTGTTAATCCCCGCCTGATGAATTGTTCGATAGATTGCAGGTGCAGCCCCATTGTTCGATCGCAAAACGAGATCGGTTCGCTGGTGTGAGGGCTAAGCCGGGGTTTCTGGTCTCGATTTGCACAATTACGATCGGCGATCAGCGATCAGCGATCAGCGATCTGCGATCGAGGATCTCCGGTGGATCGTTGGGGAAAATAAATTTCGTTTTTCTATAGTAAATTATAAGTTTAAAAAAAAAACATAAACCAAACCATTTTAAAAAGAAATTCAATCGTAAACAAAATCAATTCTTTGAAAACTAAATTGCAATTGTTTAGTTTAAAGAAAAAACTCAATTTGATTTAAATTAAGAAATATTTGTCGTTGGCTTTAAACTTAAAGAAGTTTAGGATGTTTTAAGAAAATTAAGTTGTTACTGGCCCAAATAACTTATTTCTCAAAGAACTACACCCAAGTTCGTACAGTGAAATCTAGTCTATTCCAAAATGGATACCCACAACCTCAGCGGATAATTGCCATGGAAAAGTATCCCCTGAGTTTGTTCAATTGATTTCTGTTCCCCGGTGTTTAAATCACTGCCAATTAGATGCAGTTGCTCATTACTCACTGGTTGCTTTGGCTCTTGGACCGATCATGTGGCTTGGGAACATTTGGCGGACGCACAATGTGGTGCAAGTGGTGCTGGTGGTGCCAGTGGTACCAGTGGTGCTGCCATTACCGTTAGACTCACCTGCAAAGAGAAAAGCCGAGCATAAATTATTAATTAAGAAGTGGGGGAAGTATTCCTACAACACTGCCAGATTCCAGTGCAAATAAATTAGTGAAGAGGTGGGAACTGCCACGTGTGGTGCACGCAAGAACCGTTCTTTTACCCACCAAAACAACTCCAACAACTCCAACAACTCCAACAACACCATAAACACAACAGCAACCACAACAACAACTGGTGACCAGTAATGACCTCTGGAGTAAAGGGCCGCCACCGATTCCATGTGAATGCCAAATGCGGAATCTTTTCACACTGCACATGGGTTGGGAAGACAAAAGAAGTTCGCATAACTGGAATTAAAGCAGCGCCAGCGGTAAACAGTAGTGCTAAATGGGCCAAGAAGAGGGCCTCCTCCACCGCGGATCCTCGCATGCAATCGAAGTGGACAACCCACTCCAAAGCCCAAGTCAGTCACCCCAAAAACGAAAATAAAAAGCTGAAAAAGGCAGAAGAAATAGAGGAGCTGGCTGTGGAGCCTCATCAGCGGAGACAATGGTGGGAATATTCTCATATTAAGAAATCGCGCGATCTTCAGCGCCAGATGTGTCCGTGTCCGTAAGTGTGTGTTTGTATTTAGTGCAACGCCAGGTCAGTACACCGCCCAACCGCCCAGCCACCCACTACCTTCTCCCACTTGCAACCCAGGCTCAGGCACAAGCACAGGCACAGCCAGCTTCCCCGCAGCAACAAGCAGCTTGCAACTGCAGCAGCAGCAGCAGCAGCAGCAACAGCAACAGCAACTTGCAACAGCAGCAGCAGCAACTGCAATGTTCATGGCAAATTCGCAACGTGTCGTGGTCGTGTCTTTGTTGTCATGTCCGAGAGTGTAACAAAGACCTCGACGAAGTGCCCCGCCCACTCTTTGCCCCCCCTTGCCTCCCTTTCCCCCTCACCCTTCCACTCGCCCTAAAACGCCCCCGCCAAAGTAGCGCGAATAAACATTCAAGCGGCAGCAACAACAATAATTGCATTACACATAAAAATAAATTGTAATGAACTAAAGGAAGAGACTGCTGCACAAGAAGAAGTAGCCAATGTGAAAATCGATGCGGAAGCAGCAACACAGAAAGGGCACTGCAGCAACATCAAAAGCAGCAGCAGCAGCAACAGCAACACATTTACCCTTGCTACTTTGTTTCACTCTTTCGGCTGAGGAATTTCTTCCAATTCGTCTAACTGTAATTTTGTGCCGCGCTCTCTACCTGTTTTAAATATATTTAAATAACACGCCATCAACATGAGCAACAGCAGCAGCAACAACAGCAGCAACAATATGTGATATCAGAGGTTTTAGAAGCGGGAAAAACTCAGGATATTTTAGAAAAGCTAAGGATTAAGTGATAAACAACAGTTTTATAGAATTTATTTTAAAACTGAATTGTTTACAGAATTAAACCAAAATGTACAGAAATATACACAATAACTTTTCTAAGCAAAGGAGTTATTAAATGTAGTAAGGATTTTAACTAAATTAAATTAAATTAAATCTTTAATGTATCTAACTCAAAGGTAAATATTAATTTAAAGTCAAAAGCTTCAAGTTCTTTAAACAGTTTTTTTTATATTATATCCATACAAAATCAAACTTTTTGGATGAACAATAAAGAAAAAGATTCCATTTTCTGATTAAGGACCAAAACCTGGCCGATTCATAAAGTTGTCAGGGCGAATAAGAAGTCCTTGCTCACACTTAAACACAGGGGCAACGGGCAACGTGCAACACATGTGCCTTTGCATATGTATTTGTTTGTTGGACAATTAATTAGCCATGATTCTCACGACCTCAAATTAAGAGAAAAGCCATAACAAATACTAAATGGAAACGGCAGCAACATTAGCAGCCGCAGCAGCAGCAGCAGCAATTGCTGGCACAGCAGCAACATCAAGAGCACAGCAGCAACATTGAAACGGACAATGGACAACGGACAATGCAATGGCCCTAAGAGCTGGCTTCCAAGACAATTTGGGGACGAGTTGCAAGTCGCTGGTTGCCAGTTGCAAGTTGCCAGTTGCTAGTTGCTGCTTGCTGGTGGCAAGCGCCAGGCATTCGGGATTTTTTGGGGAATGTCAAGCGGCCTTTTAGAGGCGGCGTTGGTGGAGAGTTCGTCGAGAGCATGTTGCTAGATCTGATTTAAGGCGAAATTAGGAATAATGGCTATGGCCTGCACATGACAAACACACATATATACACTGGGCGAAAAAAAGGGGGGAGGTCAGGGGTTGGGTAAAAGGGAGGCGTTGACAGGCAGCAAATGCGAACAAGACAGCGATTTATTTTTTATTCTGTTTTTGGTTTTGGTTACCCAGTCGAAGAGAAAAAGAAATTATCTCACGGATAATCCGAACAACACGTTCAAACTTTTTTCCACCAGCTTTTCCTCTCTTTTCATCTGCTTTTCGTTTCGTTTGCTGGCTTTTCTTCTCGGGCTGCCGTTTCTCGAGCGGATTCCGCCGTGGGTGGAAATTGGAGGACAGAGGCTGGGGATGGAGGGGGATCAGGGTGGCCAGGTGATGGGGTCTCACCCTTTTGGAACGGCCGAAGGCATTGACAGTGCGGGGGCGCCTCGAAAATCCGGCTGAAACAATGGCAAACTCAACTCAAATGCACCTGACGGTTGCTCTGTCCAGGCGGCAAAGCAGATCGCGACTGCAGCACACTGCGTGAAAATGTGAATGAAAATAAATTAAGAAATTATTTAAATATCTAGGATTTAGGAACATTTTATCCAGAATTTTTGTTTCTAACTTATACATGCGTTTTTAATAGGGAATTTTGTATTTTTCAAAACAACATACAGCATGACTGCGAATTAAATTTAGCAAGCCTTAGACAAAGTATGACAAACTGCATAAAAACTGTGAGAAACTCTTTTAATATAATACAACTTTTTCAAGCTTTAACTTTATTGTTTATGTTTTTAATTTTTTAGTATTTTTAGTATTTTTAGTATTAAAGATTTTTAAAGGAAAAGCTAGAATTTTTAGACAATTTAAAAATATTTCAAAAATTTTAATTGAACAGATTAAATATGCATTATGTGCAAAGAATTTTTAAATTGTAAAAAAAACATAAAATCTGTTTAAAATACAACAAATATTTTAAAGCTGAGTATAATTGGTATAATATTCCATTGGCGAATAAATGAATAAATAAATAAATAAATAAATAATTAAATAGACTTTATTTTTCAGTGGGCATACTGGAAAGTGTTTGGATGTCAGATCGGGCTCTGTGGTTGGTCGTCGCTCATTGTTGTTGCAGAAAGCCATTTCGTATTTGCTTAGTTGCGCTGAGAGAAAGGGTAACAGATTCCCACAGTCGCGAGACAACGGTACTCGGTGCTTGCTGCTCGGCCAGCAGCAACATCTCCAGCCAGCCCATGAGCAACATCTAGCCAGCAGCAGCAGCAGCAGCAACAGCAGCGGCAGCAGCAGCAGCAGCAGCAGCAGCAGCAACAACCAGCCGTTGACAACTCGCAGGCCATTGTGGCCATGAATGAAAAGAAGCCAGAGTGTTTTTCTTTCTGTATCTGTAGTTTTCCTCGTTTTTTTTTGTTTGGCTCGCTGATTGATGAATGTCAGCCGAAAGTGTGAGGGCAGGGCAGGTGTCATGGGAACCTGTCGGGGGGGGGGAAGGGGACCGCTGAAGGTCACCCAACGTGAGAATCGAAAATGTGGCACACTCTCCCGCATCTTTAGTGTTTGCTTAGCTTCTGGCCAAACTCTTTTGGGCTGAGAGCTCAAAGCTGAGGGGCTCCACTCGAAAACCTTCAATTCCTTCAATTCGAATTTCGAACGGCAGCAAACAATGGCCCAAGTGACGTGCGACCCACGACGAGCAACCTGCAACATGCCACGAGCAACATGCAACAGTTGCGGCACACTAACGGCGGATTGCGGACTTAAGCAGTCTAACCTACAAATCATAAAAATGAACAGAGACACCCGAAAAGGGAATAAATAAACAACTCACAAGTCAAATTCGCATGGATGCAAAGTTGAAAGTTGAAGTCGAAAAAGTCGAGTTGAAGTCAACACTTGAGCGGAATGCCTTGTATCTGAAAGATACTCGTACTTGAAACGATGCGCACTCTGCTCCGCGTGATCGACCGACTGTCGAATGTGGCTTACAAACTGGCGGACAAACTTACGGACAAGCGGACAAGCGTACAAGCGGACAAACTGGCAGACAAGCGGACCAGCGGACAAACTGGCGAATAGAGCGACCTAGGTGCCAGCCATAGGGCATCCATATGGATGAGCTGTTTGTATTACGTTTGAAAGTCATGTTGCAGATACTTTTCGTATATCTGCATATCTGCGGGCACCTGCTTGCCACCCGCCGACGTTGATGTTGCTGTTGTTGCTGCTGCGATGTTGTTGTTGCTGCCGCAACGTTGCCGTTACCATCGCCGCTGTCGTCACTTGCATATCAATGTGGCCGAAAATAAAATGTGACGTCTCGAGGTGCACGATTAAGAGACTGCAGCATGAGCAAAAGGCACAAGTGCAGATGCAGCCCGGATTCAGTTTTAGATTCAGATGCATCTAAGAGTCGCCCAGTGCGTCGCTTGTCGGCCTGTGACGCAATGCAAGACGGGACTGCATTATAGAGTAAACAAAGCAGCGATCAGGACACTGCGAGAAAATGTTCCCAGTGACTGAATATGTATATCAAAATCAAGCCTGTTACTGTTTTCTGAACTGCAGATAGTTTTTCTGCAAGAACTTATAGTTTCATATGTAACTAAATAGCGCACTTTTTGCAACAATTTTTGGTCATTCACAATAAAAAAAAAATATAGCTCAGTTGAAAAAGTAACAATAAATTTATTTTAAATTTTTAATCGTTATCTCGGTAAGCTAAACGAAGGTTTAAATTAAACTTTTAGCTTAATTAATAGTGATAATATAAATTTTTGTCATTCTGTCTTAATTATGTGAAATATTTTTTGGGCATT